ATTTTCATCTCAAGCATTTAATGATTAATATCTACCAATTGGGATTAAATAAACTCAATGCTAAAGTGAAAGTGATAGTGTAAAACAAATTTAATCAATACAGATATGTATTTTATCGTGATGAAATCACGACTCACCTTCCAAAGAGGTAGAGTGATTGAGAAGAAATAAATCTTAAAATTACTCTCGGAGTAGTAAATCTAAATTTGCTCATATAATAGTAAATTAGAAATTTACTAAAGCAAAAGGCACATGACATAGTAAACTTGGAGTTTACGAGTACTAATAATTTTATTAGTTGGCATGAATAATTTGGTCATCCCAAAGATGTGCATACTGAGTAATGGACATACATTGAAGAACTAGAAGATTCTTCAAGAATTCTTTTTGTTTCTTGTTCTTATGACAAGTTGATTGGATCAACTAATGTTGGGACTAAATCACTAAATTCTGAAAAATATAAAAGGTGAATATGGGTCCGTTCACCTATCATGTGATATGATAAATAGATGCATTTATAAGATAATTACATGTGCGTTTGTTGTAAACTTGCAATTTGACATTCACAAAATTATTGTGCAAGATAATTGAGTTAAGAGCGCAACTTTCAGAATATGTAATCAAGACAATTTATCTTGATAATATTGATAAATATTCAAGATGATCTGACATTAAATGTCTCAAATAAATAGTGAAATCATTGCTTATGAAAATAAACCTTCATGTGTTGATATGAAATACGATATTACATACAAAAATAATTGTATGCATCAGACCAATAAATTATGATCAATTTTTCTCTTAATTGATTTATGGTCAGGGAGCAAATATTTTCCATCTAATAATTTTGATGTGCAGTATAAGATTAATGAATATACTATGATGCACGAAAATAATGCACGAAGAAGAATAAAAGACTTCCAAATTTCTACTGTCTTCAATACAATATAAAATAAAATCTATGGCATGACCTCTAATTAATTTATCGACAGTAAAAAAGTACGATGAAAGGTTGAACCAAAATATACCTTTTTGATTCAATCTAAAAAATATCTTTTCTTATTTCACATTCACACCTCAAATCGTACAGTTTCTAAATAAATCAGCCGCGCTATTAGATAAGCCCACCAAAGTGCAGAAGTCATTGTTGCCCTGTCAACGTTTGATTAAAGCAGCAGCACCACAAGTCACAACATCGACAACACTATTAACTGATTTCGGCTTAACACGTTTATTTTCCACTTTATTATTTCCTCCGTCCATTTTTACTTATTGCGTTGTTATACTTCTTTAAAAAATAGAGGAGTAATATCTTATTGATTATAAGTTAACTAAGTATTAAAAAATAAATAATATTTAATAACAAGAATAAATAGATGTAAATAATAATTTATCTCTTAATTTTCAAAATAAAATAAATTAAATTAAATAATTATTTTTAATATATTGAATAGAGAGGACTAAAGTATAACGTATTTCGTTTTCCAATTTAATTACACACGTGGATATGAAGAGAATATATGCATACAGTTTTCGGATTTAATATTGATTTTACTGATTTCTTGGAATCTGAATAAATTTAGTAATTCCTCCCTTCCTTTTTATTTTTCAAGTATATATGAAATATTTTTTTTCCTTTTACTATTTATTTTTTCTAAAATTATATCCTTATCACCAATTAGTCATTTATCAAACTAATTGGAATATTAATAGTAAATCAAAATTTAAAGTACTATTAATAACTAAAATTTAGTAAAATAAACACTTGAGCAATAATTTCTGAAGGAAAATACAAAATTACAAAGTGAACAAGTTGAAGGAAATCAAAGGAGTATATTACTAAATTTTAATGATTTGTTTCCATGTAAAAAAGGTGATCCACCTCAAAATCGTCCCTGATTAAAAGTTTATTTATTTATTAATTATCTTCTAATAATTCCTAGTTATATATGTCTTTTTATATTGATGGAATGAAATATTGAAATTCATCTAAAATAGTTCGATTTTTGAAACGTCCAAGCACTTCTATTATTTATTTAGTTCTTTGTGTAATTTCTCAATATTTTAAACTGGTTTTAAGTATAAATTTGACTTATATTAACTTGTTTGCGCAATTTTTGATGATGTAATTGTACAAAAACAAGTAAATCAATCTTTAGTTTTATCTGATGACTTATATTAAACTCTTAACTCTACGTCTCTACCCACCTTGTAACACTTATATTACAAGACTCGAAGCAATAACTTTATTGTCCCCTATATCAATTATATCTAGTTAACATAGACTTCACCGACTATAAGACGACGAACTCTAGCCAATGACTTAAATCACAATGAAAGAACTGATGTGGTCTATTATCCTTTATAACTTAAGAATATATCTACAATATGAGAGCACAAGACACTAAATTCAAAGAACAACTTAAGACGCTGCAACATCCGATCAAGTCCGTTGTTGAGTATGAGCTATGATCTTCTCTGAAATGACTATTTTTACTTCGTGAATAAACTTGATTGCAAAAACTAGGTTGTTTCTTATCAATGTATCAAATGTATACGAGAGACAAAACAACCTAAGAGCATGTCATTGGTCGATGACTTCTGCCCATGTTGCACCTCTGTTGTTGTGCCCACCTACCGTTGCAGTTTCTGTAGCTTTACGACTGCCTTCCATTGACTTGTCCTGCTTCTCTATAGTTTGTTAAATCATAAAAATATCAGAATATAACTGTAAGGACTTGACCCAGTCGTTAAGAATAAGTCCATAGGGAAGGAATTTTGGCAAGAAAACTTTTCGGATAGTAATTTAATATTTTCTTGGCTAAGCTAGCTTATATGGGATCTGGGCTAGGTGATGTCTAGGGCTATCTGAGAAAGGATTTGGTCTTTTATTTAGATTTGAGTGATGTATAATTATAGCCAAAACATTAAGAAATTCATAAGGCCTTTCAAAATAGAATTCGAGTAAGTAAAATTCATGAAGTTTATCTTGGCGTGAAAATATGAGTCAGGACGTCAAGGAAAGAGTTTGTGTTATAAAAAAGGCTTATTTTTTTTATGTTGAGCCGCAGGAAATCTGTCGACCTCGCTACAGAGGACAACTTCTCGTTATAGCGTTGCTCAGAGCGCTATAGTAAGTTGCTACTATAGCGGCGTCGCTATAGCGAGGCTAAAGTTGCTATAGCAAGAGAATCATGATTTTATGCAGAAAACTGTCCAAAACTCCTATGCTCTACAAGTTGAGTTCTTAAAGTAGGGAGGGATGAATTTGGACAACATGCATCCGTTTTTCCACGAAAATCACCGGTTAAGGTAAGAATTCAACTCCCCAATCTTGTTAAATGTTTCTTAAGCCTTAAAAACTAGGTGGTTAAAATTAGAGAAATCTTTGAGCATGAATTCATAGTGGGAAGGATCCCTAATTAGTTGGGGAAGATGATCTCATTTTGGGAGGGGTTGGGATTTGTTAGCTATCCGGGTAAATTAATAGGTTATTTGTTATTGATTGAATGTTATATTGTTTATTTTGGATCAAGAACAAGTCAAGGCACTTTGCAAGGGGGAAACTTTGCTATTTAGAGTTTTCAAAGGGCTTGATTCGAGGTAGGTGATAGTTATATGCTCCCAGGATATGTGTATTTACATGTTTATTACTTGAAGAGTCATGTTGTGTAATGTGTGATAGGAAGCAGATGGAATGAACTTGGAATTGTAACTTGTGGGCTCAAGTAGTCTTGTTCATTGTGTTGTGGGTTGATTCATGTTGTGGTGTAATGTATTTATGCATGCTTGTTGTGCTTGTCGGTTGGCTCAGGTATCATGCTGATACAGAATATTGTTGATTGACTCGGATAGCACGCCTGATATGATTATATACGGTTGGGTCGAATACCATGCCTGGTATGATACTATAGTTTGGTTTGAGGTTCCATGAGAGGACCGATACTTGCATTATGATCGTGTGCGACATGTCATGCATTGGTTAATTCCTTTTGTGGTTTTCATGTCATGTGACTAATGTTTGTTGCTAGATTGTATATTTCCTTGTGATTCTATTTAGTTATGAATTACTTATATGCGTATGTTGGACTGGCCGCCTGATCCTACCAGTTGATAATGGTTTTTGTACTGATACTGCACTTGCTTCTTTTCTTATTGAGTGCAACGAATCTTCCAATGGCCGAGACCTTAGTTGAGAGATACTGGATACGATTGTCGAAGCTGAAGTCCCATTCAATTCATAAAAAATCGCCTACTACCCTCTTATTCGCACGCCTACAAACTTGAATGAGGATAGTCAGACTAACCCCAAAAACTCTCAATCGAATCCAAGGGTGAGCTTCATCTTTCAAGCTTCTAGGGATTTCTCTATATTTTCTTGTCCACTTGTTCGGATACAGACTTTTGATTTAGAATGTTTAATTTTTGGGATTGCATCCCCAGTTGGATTTATATTTTGGTATGGTGACTTTCAATTCTTAGGGGTATTCCCGCGTTATTGTTTCAAATGATTGGGTTGAGTTTACGGAGGAATGTTACAATATATATTAAAAAATACACACATAGAAAATTAAAAAAAAGTCAAATGTGTAATATAAATCCATAAAAGCAAAATTTTGATCTACCTAATATATAAGAAAAGGAAGTACAAATGCAAGTATAAAAATAAATGAGTGAATTGTAATATTACATAAAAACATAGTCGCACTCGATATTTTATACTACACTAATAAATACCATATATATGGTCATTTAAAATATTATGTATTGAACCAATTCCTGCTGGATACTTCATGGGTTGTTTCTTAATACTGAAAGATTCCTTTTTCTTGCCTAACGCGTGATATTTATGTTGGGCCATTTTTAATCAAATAATATACGTCCAAATGGCTGCTTGTTTTTGAATATTGAAATCCTCTTTTTCTTTATTAATTTGACAATTTCCAACCACCCCACATCATTTAAATATTATAGTAAAATTCAAGTTCCAACTCAAATTCTCATTTACAACTTCTCCATATTTTTTCAAGCCACCATGAAAGCAATCCACCTCCCCCTCGTCACACATCTCCACCATCACAACCTTGACCTAACTAAAAATAGGGTTCCCAAGGTCTATGCCTACCAAGATGTTGTTAAAACCTCAAAGAAATCAAATAGGCTTGGTGAAAAATTGTCAAACCTTTTAAACATTCAAAAGAATGATCCTCCTCCTAGTACTCATTCTACTTTGAACAATATTCATGAAGACAAGGCCAACACACCTACCATGTCACCTAAGGAGGACATATCCGATCGATGGCGCGACATTCATGGTGTTCATGAATGGGAAGGACTTCTTGATCCACTCCATCCTTTGCTTCGTCGAGAAATTGTAAAATATGGTGAGTTTGCTCAAGCAACTTATGATGCATTAGATATTGACTCATTCTCTGAGTATTGTGGAAGTTGCATGTACAATAGTCATAAATTGTTTGATAAGTCAGGACTTAACAAGAGTGGCTACAAAGTTACAAAGTACATCTATGCTATGTCACAAATAGATATGCCCCAATGGCTTGAAAGATCAAAATTGACATACACATGGAGCAAAGATTCAAATTGGATTGGTTTTGTGGCAGTTAGTGATGATGAAGAATCGCGACGAATTGGGAGGAGAGATATTGTTGTGGCATGGAGAGGCACAGTGACACCTTCAGAATGGTATGAAAATATGCAGAGGAAATTAGAGTCAATTGGACATATGGACTCAAAAGTAGAACATGGTTTTCTTAGTATTTACACATCTAAGTGTGATTCAACTAGATACAACAAATCAAGTGCCTCAGAACAAGTCATGAAAGAATTGAAAACATTGGTAGATTTTTACAAAACAAAAAGTGCTGAACAAGTTAGCCTCACAATAACAGGACATAGCCTAGGGGGTGCACTTGCTCTACTAAATGCTTATGAATCAGCAGCAAATTTTCCAAAACTTCCAATTAGTGTTATTTCATTTGCAGCCCCAAGAGTTGGGAATATTGCATTTCGCGATGAGCTTTATCAAATGGGAGTCAAAATTTTACGTGTTACAGTGAAACAGGACTTAGTCCCTCGAATGCCCGGAATAGTTTTGAATGAAAGTCTACAAAAATTCGACGATCTTACTGGGACATTAGAGTGGATTTACACACATGTTGGTGCTGAATTGAAGCTTGATGTTAGGTCTTCACCTTATCTTAAAAGGGGGTTCAATTTTATAGGGATTCATATGCTTGAGACATACCTTCATTTAGTAGATGGTTTTGTGAGTAGTAGTTCAACATTTAGGTCTAATGCTAAAAGGGATGTGGCACTAGTGAACAAGGCATGTGATATGCTTGTAGATGAGTTAAGAATTCCTACTTGTTGGTACCAATTGGCCCACAAGGGGTTAGAGTGTAATTCTTATGGTAGATGGGTAAGGCCCAAAAGAGATCCAGAAGATATTCCTTCACCTACTAGCAGGGAAGAAAATACTTATGGTTTTTGAATCCTTATGTATATATATTCTACTATATTAGAAGAATGAGTTAAAAATTTGGTATCAACATGTGTGCTTCATGTCTTTTAAATTAGCTTTAGTCACTTAATACCTTTTTCTTAAGATGAGTGTTATGTTTTGGAGAACACGTGTTTTCGCGTCACTAGAGCATTTTGCATCTGATTATCTTCACTTGTTAGTTTTGCATGCGGTTGAACGTGAAGTTCACAATTTTGATACAAAATTTGTTGCTTATTAGATACTTCATTGTTTTAGGTTTGCATCGAATTTTTGGTTTTTTTTTTTTTTTCCTCTTCGCGTTTTATTCTCTTTGTACCAACATCTTAAGGAAAAAAATTAAAAAAATTAGAATACTTTTATTCAATTTTTCTCGATATCATAATTATCTTTTGTTTTTGTGGTCTTGGGAATATGTGTACTTCTGATGGAGATTTCAGTTATAGGAGAAAGATCATGCAAAATGAGAGCTTTTTCCTTTTTCTAGCGAACACATGTACTCATACAGGGTTCTAGGTATCATGACCAGGAGAAAAAAAAAATTAAATTAGGGATTTTACAGTCCTCCCTAAGTAGTGAAGAAAAAATCATGCTCAAATATTGATAATAGTTATGTGAAATTGCATACTACTGACCAGTAGTAATATGAAATTTTATTCTGCTTTTTAAAAAATCAACACTCATAATAAAATTCATCCTTCCATGTTTTTATTGTACTGTGGGGATATTATGATAGAAATTAGTTGTGTTACATTAATGTTTTGCATCAATTTCAAAATGCGGAGAAGTTTTATGAATTGACAGATGCTTACAAACAAAATGAGGTGGAGTGGTTCTTCATTAGTTTCTTAAAAGACGAGGGCCCCATTAATTGTATGCTCTTCTTCTTCTTCTTCGTGATGGTCATATGAAAAACTTCTACTAAGAATGAGGTGCACACTCAAAGTTTAAAATGTAGATTTCTAAATATAAAATTATAGCCCGTTACGTTGATAATAACTAATGTATGTACCTTTGTTTTGATGTACATAAATGTTGTCATCTCTTTAGTTTCCAACAACGGCTAGAGTTGTGCATAAACTCCGTATGTTCCAACTTTATTTTTTAAAATAAGTGCACATATGCGTGCGTGTAAGATGGCACGTTACACTAATAAATTAACACACATTCACCATAGAAAATCAAAAGTTAACGGGTAATATATCCAAATTTTGGACTATGAGAGTCTGCATATTGAGAAAAATCCATTAATATCCCTCCGAAATCCTCTATTTTTTTTTTATGGAGACTCAGATTTTACTTTCTAATTTTCTCCCTTTTCTCTGCTCTCTACATATAATGTAATGTAATGAAGAAAAGATGAGCTTTTAAGATGGGATGATTTATTAATTAATTTTTGCCCAAACTTACAAAAATGACCATATTTATAGGGTTATTAAAGTTCAATAGCTATAAGTATGGTATTTATAAAAAATGACTACAATTTATGTCTTTTTCTAGCTGTATTATTGTATATGTTTTTTATTTTTCTATTTATACATTTAATTACAATGAACTAAATAAGGAAATTTATTAATTGTACAAATTCAAATTGGTATCTATATTTATAAAATATAAAGTATTAATTTATTAAGGATACAAGTATTTGTAAAAACTTAATGTATTAATATATTAAACAAGATAAAGTATAACACTTTAGTATATGAACATGATAATTTGAAAAATGAACACATTGTTAAACAAAAAATGAATCACCAATATAGTATAAATATGAATACATTCTTGTTAAACAAAAGATGGATACATTTGACAACTCAAAAACAAAAATAAAAATAAAAATAATAGAATGTGTAGGTATCAAAGTGTGCAAGTATTTGACTGTATAAAAAAAATGAAAAGGCCAACAAACGACAATCTCTTTTTGGTCAAGTTTTTCCTATAATACGTGAGGCTTGGTGTTAACTCATGTATTTGTTTATAAAAATATAGTATTAATGCATCCAATTATACTTGTATTGCTTAATCAACCTTTCAAATTCGATAGACTACTTAAGTATCCAAATATACTTGTATTCACAAATCATCATTTCAACTTGTGTTAAAATTAGAATACAAATGGTAATTTGTGAATACAAGTCACCATTTCAACTTGTGTTAATATTAGAATACAAGTATTTATATACATAGATACTTGTGTTAATATTAGAATACAAGTATCTATGTATATAACTAATCTACTGTATACAAATTTGACAATCACACAAACTTCAATCTCTTTTTGCTCATGTTCCTCTTGTACTACTTTTTTTAATTTATAACTATTGCCATTGTAATGTAGAAACAAATAATTCTTCAATCGAAAGCCTATAAAAATAGATGCAATATATATGCATACAAATATGATCTTCATAAACATGAGGAAAAAAACAATTAAAAGATATTTAATGAATTCAAATTACAAAAAATGCTCCTAGAATCATCAAAAAGATCTTAAATTGAAAGAAATTTGGGAGAATAATACATAAATTTTGTGATATAGGAAGATTGATGAAAGAGAAAGTATTACTGAGGGTAAACATGAGAACCAATCACATAAAACATGTCTAGACATAATAAATTAGGTGTGTAATAATAACATTCCTATTTAATAGTAATAACTTTTCTGATTATTTATATGTAATTAACTTTGCTATTTATTGTGTAGTTATATCCATATGATATAAAAAAAATAAACTGTAGCTATTTATTTTAAATATATATTAATGTTTGTCATATTTTGTAGTTTTGTAACTATTCATTTTGATGAACTTGTACCAAACTAATGTGAACATCCATATGAACATATGGTGACATTATTAAGTGCATATCTATAATCTTTATCAAAATGAAGATCATATGGTGACATTATTAAGTACATGATTGATGAAAAAGATGAAGAAAAACAATTTAAAAAGAGGAAAAAACTAAACTGATAAAAAGAAAGAATAAGAAAATGAAAATGAACATTGAACATTGAACATTGAACATTGAACATTGAACATAGATAATTGTTATTTATAAATTGTGTAAATCATAAGAATAATTAGAAATGAGTTGAAGAGACATAAAATTTCCATTCCACGTCACGGACATTCATGTCTAGTTATAATAATAGATACTGTTTAAGTTAAATGATAACTTAATACTTAACTTCTTTGTTGTCATTAATGCAAAACAGTGTTTGGACTTATTCCCATTGTGATTTTTTTTTGTTGGTCAAAGAGGAGAATTTTATCAAACTTCAATCATGAGAATCCCAATGGGGTCAATCCCATGAGAGGTAGTATTATTAGTAAGGCCTAATCCGGGCCCCCTAAAGTTGACACTAATTTTCACTTAGACACCTTAATTAAGTTTTGTGCATTTTAGACACCTCATGTCATGTTTTGTTGTGTTATTTTGACACTTTTTTTTTTATAATCAATCAAATGTGCAAGGTGTGTGTAACACACTCGCCGATGACGTATCGAATTAAATAAAGACACATGGCATATATATTGAAAATAATTTTTAAATAATGAATTTCGAGTGGAAAAAAAGGCCAATGACTTAATGACAAGTTGCAACTTTTATCCAAATAATTTTTATAAAAATTAACCACTTGAATAGTCCTCTTCTCCACCACCCCCTACCCCGGATCCTCAACCCCTCCCCCGCTAGATTGTCTTCTCCAAAGTTCACAACTCCCTACCCCTCCCACACTCAAATCATCTTCTCCACCACCTCCCACCCCACCCCCCGAAGCCCAACCTCTTCTCAATCTAGATTGTCTTTCTCCAAAGTACTTTCATAGTAATTTAATTATTTGGAAAAAAATATTTTATGAAAGCATAATCTCTTTGCAAAACTAATTCATCTTACTTGGAACTTCAAATAAAAATAACATCTTCAAATCTAAACAAAGAGTTTCTATTAAAAGAATTTCCTATAACTTTTTAAAAAATGCATTTCAATTATTTTCAAAACATATCTTGACGAGGAAGAATGACAACAAAATAAGAAATATTGTTTAAGCTTGAAATCTCTTGGTGTTGTAGTAGCATTAGATCCATTTCTCCATGGAAGGAGTTTAAGTTATAGAAAATGGTGGCTAAAATGGGGAAGAAGAAGAAAAAATAAAAAATAAAAATAGGTTAAATAAGCTCTCCACTGGTAAGGAGTGTACCACACTCACTATGTCATGTCAACAAAAAGTGTTAAAAGGACCCAACGGAACATGAGATGAGGTGTCTAAAATAAACAAAGTCTAGTTAGAGTGTCTAAGTGAAAACTAGTGTTAATTTTAAGGGGCTACCGATGGGTTAGGCCTATTAGTAATATTGTTATACAACATGGAAGTACCGACTGAATCCATTATTTTAAGTACTGGGTTTGAAAAATAAAAAGGAAAAATTACTTGGATAGATACCTTTTATTAAATAATTATTGATTTTAGCGATATTTTTTATTTATTACCATTTATAGCATTACATATCAATACTATGTTAAATTTGTAATATATATTAAAAGAAAATTATGTATGCAATATATATGAATTATAATTGTTTTTTAAAAATATATTATGCTTGTTTGTTAAGAAATTGATACATTGTATTATAAGTGTATTATCCATCAACAAAACTTGTATTATATGTGAATAATAAATTGTTCTTTGAAATATGTATTAAAACTGTATTATAAATGTATTAAAAGAGATCAAGTGAAATAAATGGTATTGCTATAAATGGTAAATATGTTTTTAATATAGTGTATTTATGTAAGTTCCCAAATAAAAATGTAATGTTTACAATTTGAACTTGAAATCTATTGGTGGAGTTTGAATTCTCTGAATCACTACGCCAACCTCTAGTATTATATTTGAGGGAAGGCATAACCCCCCCCCCCCCACACACACACACACACACACACACACACAAGTTTGTCACGAAGAATCAGTTACACACTTAAACTATTGTGACGATCTATTATACACCTAAATTACTTAAAAGTGAATTTATTTCAATCCCGACGCAATACAACCAGTCACATGATGAGAAAGTGTTTCACACTCGTGCCACATCATCATGATGTCACTGCCATAACAATAATTATGTCAGATTTAAAAAAAAATCATGTCACTCAATTGTTTCTTCTTTCCTATACATTAGTAAAATAATGTAGGCAAAAATATGTGTTAGTACATTCCATGTACTAAATATGATAGCAATACATAAGAGTTATGAAATCATGCTAAAAGGGGCTTTACATGACATGCAATGACCAAGATAAATCATAGAATAACATGTTAGAAAACATAAGTCATAATCATGGTCAATGCAAGCTAAACATCTTTAAAATACATTTGAGATACTTTTAAAAAGTAACCTTAGTTCATTCTTGTGGGATATTTACTTTTAACCGACATAGATCATGTGAGCTATAACATGAAATTCGGTGTCTATCCCACACCGAAAAGAGATGTCCTTACTTGCCAAGGTAATAATCATAAACTTCTAGCTTAGGCGGATCCACTAGCTACTGTCTATCTAAAATAATGATCCTATGGTGGCATATAATTATGGGATAGGGAGATTGCTACTAGAAACCCGGCCTCAATTACGGGAGAGTTTTCATCTCAATATCCTCTCGGTGCTAAGCATAAATCTCACATAATAGTCATTAAGATTAACTTATCTTCTTATCCATGAAAGGGCACATCAAGTAGTCAATACAAGCTAGAGTTCATTAGAATAGCTCCTTAATCTTGATTCAACTTAGGTGAGAAAACCTTTCAACCTTATGAATCCTTTAGGTGAGAAAATCATTTCACAACAACAACATCAATATTTTACTCTCAAATCAACCTTAACTCATTTTCATCAATTTCATAATGAAACATGCATATCTTCACAAATTCATCTTTCATAGTTCAAAAGCTTCATCATACGATCATAGTCTAGAAATCATGGATCATGCATGGGTTCGAGTGAATTTAACTTAAACACATGCAATTATCTCAATTCATGCATAAAAAGACATAAAACAATCAATTAGATCATAATTGAAAAGAACCCATGAGATTGAACAAAAACCCTAATTTCAATTGGAGGTTCTAGCTTGTAAAATTGGAGAATTTAGGAACCCTACGGAGGAAATGACTCAATAGGTGAATACTATCATATCTTGATGTCAAAAACCCACAATAAATGGTGAACTTGAGACTTGATCTTGAAACCTTAGACTTCTTCTTCAAGCTTTAGAGAGAAAAATATTGGGGAAGAACTTGATCAACTTTTGAGATTTTAGGAGAATGAATTCAATTGGGAAATTTGGGGGAAAACGTTTATATAGGGACTACGATAGAAGGTAAAATAACATAGTATTGGGTTAGAATAATTAGGAAAAGACCCAAAAGTCCTTAAAATAAAACTGTCAAGCCTCCACCAATAGTTCAGACCTACGGTCTGTAGGTCCTACTACGGTCCGCCCTGGTCTACCATAGGTAGGGGTTAGAGACTTGATTTTTGGTCATTCCAACGATGGGGCCCATGTACGGTTGGTAGGTCTACCAACGGACCGTACATGGCCACCGTAGGTCTTTAAAATTTCCCAAACATTTTACTTCATTTCCCTTGTCACCTACGGATGCCACCTACGGTCCGTTGATACTTCTACCAACCCGACACATGTGGAATTAATTCAGCTGCAAGAATGAGACCATAATTTGGAAGTCTCATGTGGTTGTGACTTGTGGATATTTTATTTCTTGTTTAAAAGTTTCTATCATGATAAATTGTTGTATATATTTATACATCATTGAATTATTTTATCATATAAACACATGGTTGATAATTATTGATAAATCATGTTGAAAAAGTATTATATATTGATAATGCAGATTGTGTAAAAAGTGTCTTTTTGAAAATTTAGAACAACTTCAGGTGTCAATTAATATTATTTCTACGAATAACTAATGCATGTCTTTTTCTCTTGTCTTAGCCTGTGTTTAATCCTGTTCCTGAACTCTCATTTATGCTGGGCCAAAATTTACCTTCAGAGGTATCATCCTCTTCTTTTTTTTGTATCATTTTTGTTTATAATATAAAGTTATAAAGTTACAATCAAGTGACTAATATAAAGTCACAATTAAAAAACTACATTTCCCTAATTCATCATTGCTAGTGTTACTTTTATGGTTCCTCTATTAGCAGGGCTACAATGCAGACTCTAATAGGGCCGCCATTCCTTAAAGAGGATCTGTGAGAGCTCGTAGTACAAGGGTACAGTGTTATTTAAGAAAATTATTATTATACAAACAAATTAGAACGACGAAAGAACCATAAAAGGGTTTGTTAGTTGTATTGGGCAACTTACGTTTTATGTTAAATAAATACATGCAAGCTATAATCGAGGAAGAATTCCAAGATTAACACATGTATTCTCTTTGCGTTCAGGAGTATATATCTAAACCTAATTTATATTACACTCGTTTAAAAGTTAATTTATGCAAATAATTTTTTAAGCAAACATAATTATTATAATGTGAGAATATTAACTTTTTGTAATTGTTCAAGGGTGGTAACATTTTTTTTTATTTAATCAAATGAATGCAGAGAATAGCCATTGAGACAAATCCTCAATATCCTAATGCTCCACCAAGTACCTCCACAACAAGAGATCCACGTTCAATGTACATATATAGTTTTTATGTTTCATTTTATATAATATTATTTTCTTTATAGTTTGTGTCAAAATTTGAGGGAGTGGATATATGGTTGCTTAGGCTATGTTTTATTTTTTATGTGTTGCAATGTGAAATTGATGGTGCAGACCGATTCCCAACATTTTATATAATCCAAATTATGCTGAGAATGATCAACAAGTGGATCCTTTCTTATGCTTTCTGGCGTCAAATTTGAATTTTCGTAAGCTATTTTTATTCACGCACGCGCACACACACACAACACACAACACACAACACACAACACACAACACACACGCACACACTTTTGCTAATATGTTAATATTTTTAATATATATTTAATTTCCAGGCAATCGTAGAAACAACAAGTGAGGAGCGAATTGAGCTGACTAGAAATTTGAAAATTCATTGTGCAAAATATTGGTCGGTCAAAATAAGTATTGTCAAAAAATATTTTTGTAATAAGATCAAGCACAAAATAAAAGTGTGTTATCAAGAGACAAAAATAAATTAATTTACAATTCTCATGTGGTTGTAACTTGTGGATATTTTATTTCCAGTTTAAAAATTTCTATAATGATAAATTATTGTCCATATATATACTTCATTGAAATACTTTATCATATAAACACATGGTTGATAATTATTTATAAATCATGTTAAAAATGTATTGTATATTGATAATGCAGATTGTGTAAAAAGTGTCTTTTTAAAAATTCAGAACAGTTTCAGGTGTTATTTAATATTATTTCTACGAATAACTAATGATTTTTTTTCTCTTGTCTAGGCCTGTTTTTAATCCTGTTCCTAAACTCTCATTTACGCTGGGCCAAAATTTACCTTCAGAGGTATCATCTTTTTTTTTATTGAATCATTTTTGTTTAAAATATAAAGTTATAAAGTTACAATCAAGTGACTAATATAAAGTCACAACTAAAAAACTCCATTGCCCTAATTAATCATTGCTAATGTTACTTTTATGGTTTCTCCACAGTGCAGACTCTAATTGGGCCGCCATTCCTTTAAGAGGATCTGTGAGAGCTCGTAGTACAAAGGTACACTGTTATTTAAGAAAATTATTATTATACAAACAAATTAGAATGACGAAAGAACCATAAAAGGGATTGTTAGTTGTATTGAGCAACTTACATTTTATGTTTAATAAATACATGCAAGCTATAATCAAGGAAGAATGCCAAGATTAACACATGTATTCTCTTTGCGTTCAGGAGTATACATCTAAATCTAATTTATATTACACTCGTTTAAAAGTTAGTTTATGCAAGCAATTTTTTAAGCAAACATAATTATTATAACGTGAGAATATTAACTTTTTGTAATTGTTCAAGGGTGGTAACATTTTTTATTTATTTATTTAATTTAATTAAATGATTGCAGTGAATAGTCATTGAGACAAATCCTCAATATCCAAATACTCCACCAAGTACCTCCACAACAAGAGCTGCACTTTCAACGTACTTATATACTTTTTCTGCTTCATTTTATATAATATTATTTTCTTATTAATTTATGCCAAAATTTGAGGGAGTGGATATATGGGTGCTTTGACTATGTTTAATTTTTTATGTGTTGAAATGTGAAATTGGTGGTGCAGACCAATTCTGAACATTTTATATAATCCAAACTATGCTGAGAATGGTCAACAAGTGGATCCTTTCTTCTGCCTTCTGTCGTCGAATTCAAATTTTTGTAAGCTATTTTTATTCACGCACGCACGCGCGCGGATGCTCACGCGCACACCCATATCACACACAACACACGCACAGGTACACACTTTTGCTAATATGTTAATATTTTTTATATTTAATTTCCAGGCAATCGTAGAAACAACAAGTGAAGAACAGATTGAGCTGACTAGAAATTTGAAGATTCATTGTGCAAAATATTCCTCGGTCAAAATAAGTATTGTCAAATTATTTTTGTAATAAGATCTAGCACAAAATAAAAGTGTATTATCAAGAGACAAAAATAAATTAATTTACAATTCTCATGTGGTTGTGACTTGTGGATATTTTATTTCTTGTTTAAAAGTTTCTATCATGATAAATTATTGTCCATATATATACCTCATTGAATTATTTTATCATATGAACACATGGTTGATAATTATTGATAAATCATGTTAAAAAAGTATTGTATATTGAAAATGCAGATTGTGTAAAAAGTGTCTTTTTGAATATTCAAGACAACTTCAGGTGTCAATTAATATTATTTCTATGAATAACTAATGCATTTTTTAAAAATCTTTTCTAGGCCTGTGTTTAATCCTGTTTCTGAACTCTCATTTACGCTAGGCAAAAGTTTACCTTCAGAGGTATCATCATCTTCTTCTTTTTTGAATCATTTTTGTTTATAATATAAAGTTATAAAGTTACAATCAAGTGACTAATATAAAGTCACAATTTAAAAACTCCATTGCCCTAATTCAACATTGCTAATGTTACTTTTATGGTTACTCTATTAGCAAGGTTACAATGCAGCCTCTATTAGGACCGCCTTTCCTTCAAGAGGATCTGTGAGAGCTCGTACTACAAGGGTACAATGTTATTTAAGACAATTATTATTATACAAACAAATTAGAACAATGAAAGAATCATAAAAGGATTTGTTAGTTGTATTGGGCAACTTACGTTTTATGTTAAATAAATACATGCAAGCAATAATCGAGGAAGAATGCCAAGGTTAACACATGTATTCTCTTTGCGTTCAGGAGTATACATCTAAATCTAATTTATACTACACTCGTTTAAAAGTTAATTTATTCAAGTAATTTTTTATGCAAACATAATTATTATAATGTGAGAATACTAACTTTTTGTAATTGTTCAAGGGTGGTAATATTTTCTATTTATTTATTTATTTTATTTAATCAAATGAATGCAGAGAATAGTCATTGAGACAAATCCTCAATATCCAAATACTCCACCAAGTACCTCCACAACAAGAGCTGCACTTTCAACGTACTTATATACTTTTTCTGCTTCATTTTATATAATATTATTTTCTTATTAATTTATGCCAAAATTTGAGGGAGTGGATATATGGGTGCTTTGACTATGTTTAATATTTTATGTGTTGACATGTGAAATTGGTGGTGCAGACCAATTCTGAACATTTTATATAATCCAAACTATGCTGAGAATGGTCAACAAGTGGATCCTTTCTTCTGCCTTCTGTCGTCGAATTCAAGTTTTTGTAATCTATTTTTATTCACGCACGCACGCGCGCGGATACTCACGCGCACACCCATATCACACACAACACACGCACGCACGCGCGCGTACACACTTTTGCTAATATGTTAATATTTTTTATATTTAATTTCCAGGCAATCGTAGAAACAACAAGTGAAGAACAGATTGAGCTGACTAGAAATTTGAAGATTCATTGTGCCAAATATTCCTCGGTCAAAATAAGTATTGTCAAATTATTTTTGTAATAAGATCTAGCACAAAATAAAAGTGTGTTATCAAGAGACAAAAATAAATTAATTTACAATTCTCATGTGGTTGTGACTTGTGGATATTTTATTTCTTGTTTAAAAGTTTCTATCATGATAAATTATTGTCCATATATATACCTCATTGAATTATTTTATCATATGAACACATGGTTGATAATTATTGATAAATCATGTTAAAAAAGTATTGTATATTGAAAATGCAGATTGTGTAAAAAGTGTCTTTTTGAATATTCAAGACAACTTCAGGTGTCAATTAATATTATTTCTATGAATAACTAATGCATTTTTTAAAAATCTTTTCTAGGCCTGTGTTTAATCCTGTTTCTGAACTCTCATTTACGCTGGGCAAAAGTTTACCTTCAGAGGTATCATCATCTTCTTCTTTTTTGAATCATTTTTGTTTATAATATAAAGTTATAAAGTTACAATCAAGTGACTAATATAAAGTCACAATTTAAAAACTCCATTGCCCTAATTCAACATTGCTAATGTTACTTTTATGGTTACTCTATTAGCAGGGTTACAATGCAGCCTCTATTAGGACCGCCTTTCCTTCAAGAGGATCTGTGAGAGCTCGTACTACAAGGGTACAATGTTATTTAAGACAATTATTATTATACAAACAAATTAGAACAATGAAAGAACCATAAAAGGATTTGTTAGTTGTATTGGGCAACTTACGTTTTATGTTAAATAAATACATGCAAGCAATAATCGAGGAAGAATGCCAAGGTTAACACATGTATTCTCTTTGCGTTCAGGAGTATACATCTAAATCTAATTTATACTACACTCGTTTAAAAGTTAATTTATTCAAGTAATTTTTTATGCAAACATAATTATTATAATGTGAGAATATTAACTTTTTGTAATTGTTCAAGGGTGGTAATATTTTCTATTTTTTTTTTTTTTTTATTTAATCAAATGAATGCAGAGAATAGTCATTGAGACAAATCCTCAATATCCAAATACTCCACCAAGTACCTCCACAACAAGAGCTGCACTTTCAACGTACTTATATACTTTTTCTGCTTCATTTTATATAATATTATTTTCTTATTAATTTATGCCAAAATTTGAGGGAATGGATATATGGGTGCTTTGACTATGTTTAATTTTTTATGTGTTGAAATGTGAAATTGGTGGTGCACGCACGCACACGCTTTTGCTCATATGTTAATATTTTTTATATTTAATTTCCAGGCAATCGTAGAAACAAGAAGTGAGGAGCAGATTGAGCTGACTAGAAATTTGAAGATTCATTGTGCAAAATATTGCTCGGTCTCAAAAATTATTTTTGTAATAAGATCAAGCAAAAAATAAAAGTGTGTTATCAAAAGACAAAAATAGATTAATTTACAATTCTAATGTGGTTGTGATTTGTAGATATTTTATTTCTTGTTTAAAAGTTTCTATCATGATAAATTATCGTACATATTTACTTCATTGAATTATTTTATCATATAAATATATGGTTGATAATTATTGATAAATTATGCTGAAAAAATGTTCTATATTTTGTATTTAACCATTGATAAATTAAAAATTATTTATGTACAAAGAACTATAATTACTAGCGTGATTTCAGAATAATATCTTGCAGAATATCATAAATGTGATTCTGCTTAGATTAAAAAAGGATAGTATTTTACTAAATCTTTGGAATGATACAAATCATATTTTATATATGGTTAAAATTCAACCTCCCTCAAATTGATCTCACTTATCAAGAATTATTAATTTGGATAATAGGAATTGACGCTGGCTCTTAATTATTAGGTTGTGCAAATTAACGCTTAAATCAAAAAATTAAATATTTCATATATGTTATATGCAGTTGACAAAGCTTTTATAAAGGAAATTTGGATTTTTCACCCAAAGAAAAAAAATTTAAGCTGGAGATAATAATTTATGTGCATTAGTTTTATTTAGTTATAGTAAGTTAATAGAATATGGTATAAACAATCGATTGATAACTATTAATAAAGTCAAGAATTAGAGAAGTAATATGTTGTATGTGATTTAAAATTGATGAATTCTATATTATTTTAATATAAAAACCTATAAATATAAGTCTGCTTATAACAACGTATCTTACATAATCTCAAAAATATGAATATGTATAGATAAAGGAAAAATAATATTTTCTTAGATCTTTGAAATGATACAAATATAATCTTATCCTACAATAAAATGTTTTATAATTTACAAGGAAAAATCAAACAAACAAAATTAAATCTTTGTCCTGATCAATTATGGATGTGGAAATTGAAGGATATAAAAAGAGACATACATTTTGCTGCCAATATTTCCAAACATTATCTTTGTAATGACATCAAGCACAAAACAAGGAAGTGACATCAAGAGACAAGAATAAATTAATTTCACAATTTTCATGTGGTTATGACTTATGAATATGTTATTTCTTGCTTAAAAGCTTCTATCATAATTAATTATTGTACATATTTATACTTCATTCAATTATTTAATTCATACAAACACATGGTTGATAACTATTGATAAATTATGTTGAAAATGTATTATATATTTTGTGATTAACAATTGATAAATTAAAAAATATTTATGTACAAAGACCTAAAATTACAAGTGTGATTTTAGAACTATATCTTGCACAATATCAACAATGTGATTCTATATAGATATGTCACAATCCAAAATCGAATCATGATGGCGCCTAATATAATCCCCGAATAGGCAAGCCTAACCCAAACACAAGATGCAGAATATAACAATTTGGATAGAAATAATATAAAAAACCAGAAATAGAAATAGAATAAATGGAACGGGCCATATCATAAGTATGTCATACGATACAAACTATACAAAAGGCTAAAAAATGACCAAGAAGAAAAACTAACAACAGATTTAACCCCGAACCTGGTGTCACCTATATAGGAACTGCTAAGTACAGAAAGACTAAAAGTACATGAGAACTGACTAAGAAAAATACAAAACATAAGTTAGTACAAAAGAGAGAAAGCAACAAGTCTCTAAACGTCAGAAGATCCCCACGATCTGAGTTTGTGACAGCCAAGGTAGATCTAATGCTCACAGAGGGTGACTCGTATAGGAGCTGGATCAGAAAAAGATACAGATAAATAGTAAGAATACCAAACTACGGGGTACTCAATAGGCATCATAGGTTGATCGAGCTCAGAAAGATCAAATGCATAAAGAGAAATGCAATGATACTATCATAATAGGGATAAATTCTAATATAGGAAAATCATACTAACAGAGAAAAGGCAAACAATATCAAGAATTCAATCACAAGCTACACAAAAAATACAAGACAACTCATGCATACTCAATAACAATTTAGACACAGAGGCAATGCTAATGACGAATAAAGGGAAGTAAAAAATCCTGAAAGCATCCTCGAGATAAATTTGTGGACTTAACAATAAAAATAACTCGCGAATATATCTCAACGGGCTGTCCGAAATGATACCTCAGACTTATCAGGAAAGTAACAATAACCCAGATATATCTTGTAACATCTCGCTATTTGAAAGAACTAGGAAGAGTTAGAATTGGAAATAGTTGTTTATGGAAAGAATGAAAAATCTGGAAATTTGGTAAGTTGTGTTAAGTTTGGGTTTTTGGTTAACTTCAAACGACCATAACTCCTAGCTCAGGATGTGTTAGGTGTGTTTCCAGTTATCGTAGGAAATATCTTGGAATAATCTTTTCAACACCACCAAGTTTGTGCGATTCCGAGTTCGTATGAGTGAGATATGACCATTGGAAGTTGGGCTGTTCGAATAAGGAAAGTCCAATCCGGATTTTGGAAGGGTATTATGGCCTTTTCCATACCCAACTTAATTAATTCGTTTTTGTTAATTATTTTAAGCTCTAAACTGATAGGATTCCGTTTATGCTTTTGAAAAATAAAGTTAGGGTTTTTGGAGAAAGAACGCAAGAGGAGAAGAAAGGAGTAAAGAGCCAAGATCATCGTTCGTAAGGATTTCACTTGTGGATTTCATCAAGGGGTGATCCCTACGAGGTATGTGAGACTTTCATAACGTTGGGTTCGTTCACCCACGTGCCAAACATGTTTGATTTAACGTGAATTCATTCTAAAAAGATTGTAAGTTGAATGTTCTTGATAGTTGTTCTTGAATTGCTTTCGTTCTTGAATTTGGGTTGAGATTTAGGAGTCTCTTGATATTAAAGTGTTGATTCCTCGAGTTGTTTGAGTTAGATGTTGTGTATTTGTCTTGGGTATCTCATTCCTAAGTGAATTTGAGAAAAAGAATCAGAATTAATCGATTTAAGATCAGAAAATGAGATCAAAAGTTCGTTAGTTTTTGCCTGAGGAGAGGCTGGCGTTGGCAAGACGCTCTATCACCACTAAGGCTCATAGTGGTGGTTGTCGGTGAGAGAAACTCCCACAAAAACTATTTTTCTTTATTATATGAGTAAGTTGAGTTGTTATCAGATTTCTTTAACTAATTGAGTTGCTTTCTATTGTTTTAAAAGCTTTCTATATATTGCATGTGTATTGTTGCTTTATATTGAGTTAAATTATTCAAGATTTGAGTAAAGCCAAGGTAAGTGTTCCTTTCAAATTCTTTTCAAGCTTATGTTACGTTTAGCATTGCACTCGCATACTCGTACATTCAATGTACTGATGCCAGTTGGCCTGCATCGTTTTATGATGCAGAAACATTTAACCAGGATCAACATCCAGTGCCTCGTTGATTAGGTTGAGCACTCAGAGTCATTTGGTGAGCTTCCTTGCTTTCCGGAGGGTTCTTTTCATAATTATTTAGCTTTTCAGTTGTTAGGATTGTCGGGGATCCTGTCCTGACATCCCTCTTTGTTTTAGAGGCTTCACAGACAGTTAGTAGTCAGTTGTCTTACATTATTATTTCATATGTTAAGACTTGAGTTTCCACTTTGGCCAAGTTGAATGTTTGACCTTTGAACGTTCTAAGTATTTTATTAAATAGTTGAGTAGAGATGCATTGATTCCTTGTATTATGCTTTTAAGTCTTCCGCTGAATATGTAAGCCATGCCAAGGGTTCATTTGGGGCCAGCAATGGTTCTCAAGTGCCAGCCACGTCCAGGATGTAGGCTCGGGGCGTGACAAACTTGGTATTAGAGCCCAGAGTTCAAGAGTCCTAGGGAGTCTATGAAGCCGTGTCTGTAGAATCCTAGTTATCGGTGTGAAGCGTAGCACATCTATAATTAGGAGGCTGCAACACTTAGGAAATTACCTCACTTCTTTCACACTCATTTCATGCGTTAGAGTTTGATCTCTAAAAAGTTTCTTCTAATTCTTGCTTGTGCGTGTGTTTCAGTAATCATTCCTCCACAAAGAGCTGTCCGTGGTTGTCCTACTAGAAGGAATGTGGAGCCGCAAAAACAAGAGGTACCCAATGAACTAGAAGTGCAACCCCAAGGAGAGGTCACCAATGCTGAATTTTGGGAAGCAATCCGAATGCTAAGTCAGGCTGTGACTAACCAGGTTGGGAACATGAATAAGCGGATACTTCAAGGATTCATGAGTTCTTGAGGATGAATCCTCCAAGTTTCATTGTTTCAAGCACGACTGATGATCCGAAGAACTTTATTGAGGAGCTGCAAAAGGTGTTTGATGTCATGCACGTTGGCGATGCTGAGCGAATTGAGCTAGCTGCATATCAACTGAAGAATGTTGGTAGGACTTGGTTTGACCAGTGGAAGAAGGGTAGAGCTGAGGGAGCACCACCTGCGAGTTGGACTTGTTTTGAGGAGGCCTTTTTGGGGAGTTTCTTTCCACGAGAACTGAAAGAGACTAAGGTACGAGAGTTTCTTACTCTTAAGCAAGATTCATTAAGTGTTCATGAGTATGTGTTGAAGTTCACCCAACTATCCCGTTATGCTCCAGAGATGGTTGCGGACATGAGGAGTATGATTTGTCTATATGTTGCTGGGATGTCTCGTATGTCGAGTAAGGAGGGTAGGGCTGTGATGCTAATTGGGGACATGGATATATCAAAGTTGATGGTCTATGTGCAATAGGTTGAGGAGGAGAAGCTGAGTGATATGGAGGAATTCAGAAATAAGAAGGCTAAGACGACAGGGAATGAGTCCGGGCAGCCAAGAAATAATGCGAACCGGTCTTCCTTTCAGCAAAATCAAAAGGAACTTGCTCCATCATCTGCTTGTGCACCTGCACCCAGAAACAAAGGTGAGTATAATGGTCAGAATTCGCAGAACTTCACAGCTAGACCTGCGCAGTCTCAGGGTTGTGTGGCACAATGAGGTAAATGAGCTCCTGCATGTGCTAAGTGTGGTGGAACCCACCCGGGTAAGTGTCGTGATGGTTCCACAGGTTGTTTCAAGTGTGGACAAGAGGGTCACTTCATGAAATAGTGCCCCAAGAACCGACAAAGTAATATCAATCAGGGTAATAGAGCCCAATTTTCATCAGTTGCCCCATCAGACAGGGCTACACCTAGAGGAGCCACTTCCGGTACTTGCGGAGAAGCAAACCGTCTCTATGCGATCACTAGTCGTTAAGAGAAAAAGAACTCTCCAGATGTTGTCACTGGTATCATCAAAGTCTTTTCTCTTGATGTTTATGCTTTGCTAGACCCAGGAGCAAGTTTATCTTTTGTGACTCCTTATGTTGCAAATAATTTTGATGTTCTTCCTGGGAAACTTTGTGAACCCTTCTGTGTTTCTACACCTGTTAGGGAGTCTATTCTAGCCGAGCGAGTATATCGTGATTTTGTCATTTCCATCAGTCACAAGAACACCATGGCTGATTTAGTTGAGTTAGACATCATGGATTTTGATGTCATTCTATGTATGGACTGACTTCATGCATATTATGCATCAATAGATTGTAGATCTCGAGTTGTCAAGTTCCAGATTCCTAATGAACCAGTTATAGAGTGGAGTAGTAGTTCTTCAGTGCCTAAGGGTCATTTTATTTTATACCTTAAGGCGAGAAAGTTAGTTTCTAAGGGTTGTGTCTGTCACTTAGTCCTAGTTAATGACTCTAGTGTTGAGATACCTCTCATTCAATCAGTTTCTATAGTAAAGGAGTTACCAGAAGTCTTTCCAGATAATCTACCCGGAGTCCCTCTTGAGAGAGAAATAGACTCCGGCATAGTCATTCTTCTAGATACTCGTCCTATCTCTATTTCTCCATATTGAATGGCACCAGCAGAGTTGAAAGAGCTAAAAAAGCAATTGAAAGATCTCCTTGATAAGGGTTTTATTCGACCAAGTGTCTCACCTTGGGGATCTTCGGTCTTGTTTGTGAGAAAGAAAGATGGTTCCCTTAGGATGTGTATAGACTACCACCAATTGAACAAGGTTACCATCAAGAATAAGTATCCTCTTCCGAGAATTGATGATCTTTTCAATCAACTTCAGGGTTCTTCTTGTGTTTCTAAGATAGACCTAAGATCTGGCTACCATAAGTTGAAAGTCTGGGAGTGTGAAATTCCCAAGACAACATTCAGGACCCATTATGGTCATTATGGGTTTCTGGTCATGTCGTTCGATTTAACTAATGCACATGTAACGTTCATAGACCTTATGAATAGAGTATTCAAGCCTTATTTAGATATGTTTGTTATCGTATTCATTGATGACATTCTAATCTATTCGAGGACTGAGGAAGGTCATGCTAGCCATTTCAAAATAGTTCTTCAGACTTTAAAAGATAAGGAGTTATATGCTAAGTTCTATAAATGTGAGTTTTGGCTTGAGTCTGTGACATTCTTGGGTCACATAGTTTCCGGTGATGGAATTAGAGTTGTTAACCAAAAGATAGAGGCAGTGCAGAATTGGCCTAGACCCACATCTCCAACTGATATTAGGAATTACTTGGGCTTGACTGGCTATTATAGAAGGTTCGTAGAGGGGTTCTCATTTATTTCATCTCCTTTGACCAGGTTGACTTAGAAAACAGTGAAGTTTCAATGGTCTAAAGCTTGTGAGAAAAGTTTTCAGGAATTGAAAAAGTGGTTGACTACTGCCCCAGTATTGACCTTACCAGAAGGTACCTATGATGCGTCTAGAGTTGGTTTGGGTTGCGTGTTAATGCAGAATGACAAAGTTATAGCTTATGCCTCCAGACAGTTGAAAGTTCATGAGAAGAATTACCCAACCCATAATCTGGAGTTGGCTGCCATAGTATTTGCTTTGAAATATGGCTCCATTATCTTTATGATGTGCATGTGGATGTGTTCACCGATCATAAGAGTCTTCAGTATGTGTTTACTTAGAAAGAGCTTAACCTCAGACAAAGGAGATTGTTAGAATTTCTCAAGGATTTTGACATGAGTATTGTTTATCGCCCAGGTAAGGCTAATGTTGTTGCTAATGCTTTAAGCAGGTTGTCTATGGGTAGTACCACCCATGTTGAGGAATAAAAGAGAGAGTTAGCAAAAAATATGCATAGACTTGCACGGTTAGGAGTTCGACTAATGGATTCCACAGAAGGAGGAGTAGCAGTGATGAATGGGGTGTGCAAAAACCGATTTAACCAATAAACCGAACCGTAAAAAACACTATTGGTTTATTGATATTGGGTTATTGGGCTAACGATTTTTAAACAGTTTTGCAAATTTTTTTATTGGGTTATTGGTTCGGTTTTATAATTTTTGTTAATGGTTAAACCGATAACCCAATAAGACTATACTAAATTTTCTAGTCTTATTGTTAATGGTTAAACGATTGTTACTTTCACACTTTTTGTTAATGGTTAAACAATTGTTACTTTCACACTTTTTCCTTTGAATGTGTCTAGTGTCTAAACTTGCAAGAAAAATGATTGTTACTTTTATGATTATTACTTTCATGCCAAATGCTGGAAAAATCATATGGTTTATTTGAAAATTTTCTTATTGTGTATATAATATATATGAGTATTTTCTTATTGGTTAAACCGAAAACCGAACCGTTAAGTACCATAAACCGATTAACCAAAAATCGATAAGGAATATGTTATTGATTTGGTTATCGGTTTGAAGTATTTACAAACCGAAAACTGATAAACCGAACCAATAACACCTAAAACCGAACCGAACCGACCGATGCGCACCCCTACCTAGACCCACATCTCCAACTGATATTAGGAATTTCTTGGGCTTGACTGGCTATTATAGAAGGTTCGTAGAGGGGTTCTCATTTATTTCCTCTCCTTTGACCAAGTTGACTTAGAAAACAGTGAAGTTTCAATGGTCTAAAGCTTGTGAGAAAAGCTTTCAGGAATTGAAAAAGTGGTTGACTACTGCCCCAGTATTGACCTTACCAGAAGGTACCTATGATGCGTCTTGAGTTGGTTTGGGTTGTGTGTTAATGCCGAATGACAAAGTTATAGCTTATGCATCCAGACAGTTGAAAGTTCATGAGAAGAATTACCCAACCCATAATCTGGAGTTGGCTGCCATAATATTTGCTTTGAAATATGGCTCCATTATCTTTATGATGTGCATGTGGATGTGTTCACCTATCATAAGAGTCTTCAGTATGTGTTTACTTAGAAAGAGCTTAACCTCAGGCAAAGGAGATTGTTAGAATTTCTCAAGGATTTTGACATGAGTATTGTTTATCGCCCAGGTAAAGCTAATGTTGTTGCTAATGCTTTAAGCAGGTTGTCTATGGGTAGTACCACCCATGTTGAGGAATAAATGAGAGAGTTAGCAAAAGATGTGCATAGACTTGCATGGTTAGCAGTTTGACTAATGGATTCCACAGAAGGAGGAGTAGTGGTGATGAATGGGGCTGAATCATCTTTAGTGTTAGAAGTAAAAGAGAAGCAAGACCAAGATCCTATTTTTCTTGAATTGAAAGCAAATGTTCATAAACAAAAAGTTATGACTTTTGAACAAGGGGGAGATGGTGTGTTGAGGTATAAAGGCAGATTGTGTGTACCAAGGGTGGATGAACTCCAAGAGAGGATCATGGAGAAAGCTCATAGCTCCAGATATTCCATTTATTTGGGTTCCACAAAGATGTATCGTGACTTGAGAGAAGTTATTGGTGGAGTAGTATGAAGAAGGGCATTGCACAATTTGTTGCTAAGTGCCCGAATTGCCAACAAGTTAAGTAGAGCAACAAAGGTCCAATGGTTTGGCTCAAAATATAGAACTTCCTGAATGGAAGTGGGAGATGATCAATATGGACTTCATCACAGGTTTACCAAGGTCTCTCAAGCAGCATGATTCTATTTGGGTGATTGTTGATAGATTGACAAAATCAACCCACTTTTTGCCGATAAAGACTACCCATTCCACAGAAGATTATGCTAAGTTGTACATTCAAGAGGTAGTGAGACTTCATGAAGTTTCGGTCTCTATTATTTCAGATAGAGATGCACAATTTACTATACGGTTCTGGAAATCCTTTCAGAAAGGTTTGGGTTCAAAGGTGAACTTGATTACTGCTTTCCATCCTCAGACAGATGGTCAAGCAAAGCGTACTATTCAGACTTTAGAAGATATGTTGAGGGCATGTGTGATTGATTTCAATGGGAATTGGGATGTTTACCTACCTCTTATTGAGTTGGCTTATAATAATAGTTTCACTCTAGCATCCAAATGGCTCCTTATAAAGCTCTTTATGGGAGAACATATAGATCTCCTATTGGATGGTTTGAAGTTGGTGAAGGAGGGTTGATAGGACCAGACTTAGTTCATCAAGCTATGGTGAAGGTGAAAGTTATTCAAGAGAGGTTGAAAACAGCGCAGAGTCGCTAGGAATCCTACACTGATGTTAGGAGAAGGGAGTTGGAGTTTGAAGTAGATGATTGAGTCTACTTGAAAGTTTCACCCATGAAGGGTGTTATGAGATTTGTAAAAAGGGAAAGCTTAATCCCCGGTATATTGGCCCTTATAGCATATCCCAAAGGGTTGGTAATGTAGCTTATGAGTTAGAGCTGCCCCAAGAGTTGGGCAACGATTCCTCCGATATTTCATGTCTCCATGTTGAAGAAGTGCATGGGAGATCCTTCATTTATCATACTAATTGAAGACATTGGGATCAAAGATAGCTTATCTTATGAGGAGATTCCTGTTCAGATTCTAGATGGCCAAGTTCGCAAGTTGAGGACAAAAGAGGTAGCATCAGTCAAAGTTCTTTGGAGGAACTAATTTGTTGAAGAAGCTACTTGGGAAGCTGAGAAAGATATGAAGAAGAGATATCCACATCTCTTTGAGACCGGAGAAATTCCTGATCAAGGTACTAATTCTCTTCTTAGTACTCTTTAATTTATAAGTTGGCATGTTGTATTTCCTTTGCTTGTTGGGTGTTTGAGCTGAATGTTAGATGTTACACCCTTAGCCTAGTAAGAGTAATCTCATTCGAGGACGCATGCTCCCAAGGGGGAGATATTGTAACATCTCGCTATTTGAAAGAACTAGGAAGAGTTAGAATTGAAAATAGTTGTTTTTGGAAAGAATGAAAAACCTGAAAATTTGTTAAGTTGTGTTAAGTTTGGGATTTTGGTCAACTTCAAATGACCATACCTCCTACCTCAGAATTAGTTAGGTGTGTTTCCAGAT